AAGCCCTCTGATTGGCCTAAGGAAAGGCCTCTATGCCAAGCTCTCTACGATAACGAGAAAGAGGAGGAACGGTGGCAGCTCCTCCCCTCAGAAGCAGCCACAGGATGCTAGGCGAGTTTTCCCTCACTAGAATACCCATGTGGCTTAGCAACCTTGGGAATGTACCCCCCACAGAGGATGTCATTTGTGTTCTTGCCTAGTGGTTCAGAATTTGTTGCTGGATCAGAGCTGTGTCGATTAAAGGCTTACAGCCCATGTTGGGGAGATAACCCCAAAAGATATATCTGAGCTGCTTGAAGATTCTGCCTTTGAACCCATTCAAGCATGAGTGATTCCTTTTCATACAATGCTTTTGCCATCTCTCTGTGCAGCAAAATCTCTTTCCACCATTAGTCCTCTTCAACTTGTTCACTTGATTCCATGGTTTAGGGCACTGGTTCTTAACCTTTGTTACTCAGATGTTTTGGGACTGTAACTCCCAGAAGCCTTCACCATCAGCTCTGCTGGCTGGGGTTTCTGGGAGTTGCAGTTCAAAAATACCTGAGTAACAAAGGTTAAGAACCACTGGTTTAGGGGACTGGTGGGGTTTGGGCGTTTTTCTCTTTTCACTAGAAATCTTGCCATTCTTCTGTTTGAGAAGAGAATATGTGCAGATACAGATTTAGCAATTGTGCTTATATGCGGGTAATAGAAGAAGGGGGTGATGTTCCCTCATTTTTAAAAGAACATGCTTGTGGATAGGGTGTAGAGCGAAATATATAACAGGACAATCCTTCATATGTCTGTTCAGAATTAAGCTCCACTGAGTTCAAAAGATTTTTCCCAAGTAAGGGTGTGAATACACAGTGAGGGAAATATGAATTCACTTTCATCCACTTGCCATGAAATCCCACTGGGGAATGTGGATCTGTTTGAGTTAAGTGGCTGCACAGGAAGACAGGAGAAAAGCCTTGCTTGCAGTTTGTTTTCCGTTCTATTTATAGCCCTGCAGGTGGCCCCATTACAAAGAACTGCACTAACAAGCACTGTCTCTTCTAAAGCTCTGTAAGGCTTCCCTTCCTGTCAATTATTAGACTGTTAGCTTAAAAAAAAATACTCGCCCCTTGAGCTTTCTGCTCTTAAGCTGTTTTAAAAGACACACACAACCAGGAGTGCTGCCCGTGGAGAAGCTGTTTAAAAAATGTATTGGGAGAAAGGCTTTGCTGGAAAGAGAGAATGCTGATGCATTGTGTGTGTGCACGCATGCACACACACAGTCCTCCCTTTCTGCATTGGTTCAAGTAATCACATGCCTGAACCAACGGGAAATGATCCATTTAAAAAAAATCAGAAGCCCCAACAGTGGAGAAGAAAAACTATGGATTGTAGGGGAGACTCTGGGTCAATTTACATTTTCCTTTGTGTCAACAAACAGAAAAAAATGAATCAACCCAACCCAAACCTGTAACATTTCCTGTGATAAATTATCATTACTTAACAATGTTAGAGCAGAATTGTAGTGCAGTCTAATGCAGCAGTTTACCTAGCAGAATCAGTTTCTATGGCTAAAAGATATCTAATGGAGCAATCCTAGTTATGTCTACTCAGAAGAAAGCCCCATTATAGCCAATTGGTTTTCTTTTGAGGTTCTGTGCTGCGTGTAGGGTTGCAGCTTAATCACAGCCCACCCCCTGTAAAAACACCCTCAGAATTATGTGTTTTACAGAAAAATAAAATGCTTGGAGAAAGGGCAGACTACATATGGAACAAATAAACAAATACACCTATATTCAAGAGTATGAATATGCTAGGATTTATTCCTCAGTAAATCTACATTAGTCTGACTTTTAAGCCAACTGCAGTCCTATGAATTCTTTTGCTGTAAGTAAGTACTGAAGGTGGTGCCTTGGTGCCTCTGCAAAATGCAGAACTTCAAATGAAACCTCTAAAGCTTTCATTATTTAGTTGGCCTTAAAGTGCATAGTTAAAAGATTTTAAACCAACTGGAAATGTATAATCCAGACATTGTATTCTTCTGTCTGAACCATAAATGTTGACTAAATGCAAAAGCCTCTGGCTAGTGACCTCCTTTGCTCTCTTCTGAAGGTGTTAAATGCTTTGAGGCTCATTGCACAGAGCACACAAGCTGAACTAATGAATGCCCATTCCAGAGTAAGTCCTCTTTCCTGGCACAAAGTAAAACAGCTTATCTCAGCCTTAATGTAAATCATACTAGACGGCCAATTCTGCTAACAATAGGTGAAAAACCTTCTAGAAAGACATTCAGCTGTGCATGTGGCTAGCTGAAGTATTCTGGTATAACATATTTCGCAACAGAAAAGTGCTGCAGAAGCACAAAGGACTCTGGATGTGTGCCATCAATATTAAGAGAGGAAGAACACCCAGGAACACCCAGACTATTTATGACTGAGCAGTCAGCAGAGGCATTACAGCTGAGAAAGACCCTCTGGCATAGCAGGCAGGTTGTAAAGGAAGCAAACCTAAAGCTATATCACATTTCCCTCAACTGGAATGAAACACATGGAACAGAGTTCTGTATCAACCCAGAACTTGTGACAAAAGAGGCTGAAAGACATATGCAAAACTCTGTCAAACTGATCCTTGTTTATATTTTGAGAAACCAACCCTTCACACATCAATTAGAGCGGGCAACTCTGAGAGAGTGTGCAGGTGAGCCAAGCAGTCTCAGCTCACCTATTCCAGAGAGCCTAGGCCCTTTGCAGTGTCCCAAAACAACTGAACCTTGGGGCTGGGAAATGGGCTACCATTTCTCTTAAGGAAGCTGCTGCTCTGCATGGCAACCTCCAGTACAGGAACTGCCAACATTTCCTAGAAGTCAATTGGTCTTGTCAACTGCCAGGGTGAATCTGCCAAAAATGAGTATCAGATAGAAATTAGGCTCTGAAGGGAACCTGGAGCTTTTGCATCAGATGGGAAAGTCCAAAACAATGCCTTTCATTTTAGCTGATCCTTGGGGCATAGATGAAGGGAAAGCTGGAAAAGGAGGCAGGTTTTTCAAATCAAATATTCAGTTTGGAAAAATGGAAAACTGGGGAGAGAAACTGATATGCATTGGAAATAGGGCATTGCAAAGTATATTTATAACATAATCAACATGCAGAAGCCCTTACAGATAATAGTATCACAAACCCAGGGCTAGGGAAAAACTGTAGCTGAAGGGAAAGCTGGAAAAGGAGGCAGGTTTTTCAAATCAAATATTCAGTTTGGAAAAATGGAAAACTGGGGAGAGAAACTGATATGCATTGGAAATAGGGCATTGCAAAGTATATTTATAACATAATCAACATGTAGAAGCCCTTACAGATGATAGTATCACGAACCCAGGACTAGGGGAAAAAAACCACTAGGGTTTCTCTTTGAAAGGTAGCATACATTTTACAGCAAAGGTTTGATAAGGAACAGATGGGTTCTTAAGTGGGAGAAACTTTTTAGTTGTTCCCATTGTGCTAATAAGGATCACGATTCACCAAGTGGGACAGGTTCTTAAGTGGGAGAAACTTTTTAGTTGTTCCCATTGCCACTGGCAATGGTGCGGCTAAAAAATATTTTAAATAAATAAATAAATAAGGATCACGATTCACCAAGTGGGACAGCCTTGGACAGCCTTGAAGAATATTTAGAGGAACTGGTGATAAAAGTCTTAGATGTTCCCTGGGCCCATCACCATAGGAGAAGTACTACTTTTGCCTTCAGGAAAAAAAAATGCTAAAGTTTTGGCATTATCTCACATTCAAATATTTTGGGTATAAAAGATGGCAAGGTGAGATGGCAGACCCAGACCTCCAAGGATGTATAATGTTTGCCCCCCTGATCCTGCGTGTGATGGCTCAGCATCGGGGGAGTAGACCGCTATTGTGGAAGAGTGGCCAGAGTGTTCAACTGCAACTTGGGAGATTCAGTTTCTAGTCTCCACTTAGCTATTAATTCACTGAGTGACCTTGGGCCAGTCACACACTGTCAGCCTCAGGGTTGTCGTGAGCATAAAGTGAGAAAATAGAAACCTACATATGTTGCTTGGAGCTCATTGAGGAATTGATGATGATGATGATGATGTATGGAAGCACACAGACTGATGATATTCTACTGTGAAGAACTTATTCTTGTACTATATGTGTGCTTCTTACTAGTCTAGCAATTATGTGTTGCATAAATGAAATACATTTTTCCTTCATGATGTGCAACAATGTGGTGATATATTAGCTAAGCTTTCTTTTTAAATGGAGATTTATATGACTTCCCCTTCTAAATACTTTCTAAATATCCTGCTATACAGGTTCACGTGAAACAACAGAATTCAACAGTGCAGCATCAAAAAATTAGTTTCCTTGTTAAACTATGCACTTCATCTTGCAAGCATCTTACATGTTTTCCATCGTGAGTACACTACCACATACAATGTGACATGCTCAATTATATGGGACATTTACAGCAAGGGAAAATAGCATTTTTAGGCGATAAAGAGGCATTATTCCTCCTTCATTTATAATTTAGTGACTCAGGGCAATCGAATGTGAGGAAAGTGAGAAAAGGGCAATGCATTTTAAAATTCCCCAAAGGGAAATAATGTAGTCTAATCATAGACAGATTTACTTGGAAGGAAACTTCCATTGATTTCAAAATAAAGGCATTTAACTTTGATATCCCAAGAAAGTAAATAAAGTTCCTCCTTCTGACAGAATGAAAAAAATGACATCACTGCCCCTTCTGACATTGTTTTACTCAAAATTGCTCTTCCATTTGCTGCTTCTAGTGACAATAATTTCAGTTTTTTCGGGGATTGTTTCCAACAGTGGATAGTAAGCTGAAATGACTCTCTTAAATACTATGTCCCCTGTTCTAAAATGCCACAGAAGTGCATCTAGTGAACTACTGAGACATTATGAGATTTGTTGTGTTATTACATTTTCCTCATCACATGATTTCAGTGGCTATTTTAGTTACACATTTTTTTAAAAATTACAGATTAACTCGAATATTACCTTCTCATCAGGGGTAGGAGAGAACATTTTCTCTTCCAAGGGATGTACTGAGTAATCATAAGGATAAGAAACGACCAAATCACCCCCATGAAGACTGGCTGACAGGACAAATGGAATGGACCTGATCCACTTCATGACAGCTTTTGTTTCAGGGGCTACCTGGATGACATTTTAAAAAGTAATCACATTGAGAGACACATTGAATATCTCATTAAGCCACATAAACGTAAGTAAAGCATGGAGTGCTTTAATCAAGTGCCTGTAACATAAGATATTGTAGTAGCTCATAACATTACAGATCAAAGTAATTTTGATATGCTCTAATGAAAATCAGGATGTGCTAGCAAAGATAATATCAAACCATGATATGTCACATTTTACAAATACATACTTCAAGCCATTTATGTGTTTTAGCCCTCCAAATCTAAATTCAATCAGATTTCATGTTAATGACATAGAGAATAGATCATGTTTGATAAATTTTTGTATTCCATACCTTACCCCACCAATAAGACTGTGGAATCGGAAGGTGGTCAATGCGTGCTCCTCTGATCTTAGCTATTCTGTAAACTTCAGATGTCAGATCTGGAAAGTTCCTGTTAAGATCAAGGTTCTGAGCAGTTTGCCTCCCATTGATCCATCCATTGTAGCCAGCTCCCTACACAGCATTGGGGGCGAGAAAAAGTGACCAGCTCCAATACTCTGGTAAATTCACACATGCATTTAGTGGCAATAAAAGAGGAGCTGTGATAAGCAGATGTAACTTCTCAATGGTGCAATGAGCACAATCTTTTAAAGTGTCTACAGAGAAAAATAAAATTACTGTTTTAGTTATATAAAATGGTTCATTTTAAGAATTTTAGTCATTGCCAGAGTAGGCGACATGAATATAAAACTTAGCTAAGCTAAGTAGCCAGAACTAGGGATAGGCAAAGTAAGAATACTCGCCTTAAAAATGAATTTAGTCTACTTGGGTGGTCCAGCCAAACATTGGGCCCATTCCCTAGCTTGTTCTGGTTCCTAAGGGCAGAACACTTACCTTGGGAGCCAGAAAAAGAGTAGCAGATGGTAGTATAGACTCATGACAAAAATGGAGTTGGAAGGGGCCTATAAGGCCAACCCCCTGCTCAATGCAGGAACCCAAATCGAAGCAAACAGATGTCCCAACAGTGGGTCTTCCACTGCCTTCTCCAAAATCTGACAAAGAGACATGCAGCATTCTTCAGCCTGGGATTTTGAAAGTCATACTAGAGCTAGTTTAGGTATATCATAAGCAACTTGTTTAGGTGCAAAAGAAATAAAGGCTGACACCAACAAAGTATACTAGGTTCTCTTAGAGTACTTCCTGTTCTTTACAATCCCTTTATAATTGTATGAATTTTAACTTTTTAATGACTATGACCAGTTTTATTGTTTATTTTTATTTTATTGTTGTTTATTGTTTGCTCTGTTCAACAGCTCACCTCTTTGGCTGTTTTACAAAAAGATGTAGTAGTAATGCCAGGAGTAGCAGCAGCAGCAACAATGGTAGTAATAGTAGTAATAGTAATGGTAGCAATAGTGATCATCATCCCATCATCCCTGGCACAAAATGGCAAGCAGCTCTCAGGTGGCACAGAAGATTTATCACTTGGATGCTCAGAACAGATGTGAGTTTGCTTTACATAACCTTACAAATTGGTTTGCAACTCATATGCTTGTTTTGCTTCTCTTGGCACCATGTTTGGGTTTGCCTTGGAACATCTTATTTCATTTTTATTGAAGTGGAACTGATGCAGCCCATTGTCAAGACTGGATAGCTAGATGGTCTTGCAGCTGCTCCTTTATTGGCTCAAAAACCCGAGATCAAAGCATAGTTCTCCCCAGCCAAGGAAAACAGGTTCAGTTTTCTGTCAGTTTGTCTCTTTATTTCTTTTATGCTTTCTATCATCATTTTATTGTACTTCTGAAGTTTGCATGATGAACTCATTGTTAACCACTTTGAGCACCATATATATTTTCTCATTTAAGTATAGCAACTATGGATTTGCAAAAAGAAAGGTAAAGAAATAAAACAATAAAATAAAGATCCATCGCATAAATAACCACATTCTTTCTTTTGGGGGTTCTTTACAGGACCAAAAAAACAAAAAAAACAAAAACAAAAACAGGCTCTAAGGAGGTACAATTTAAGGTACACAGAGTGGGATTATTGGCCTTTTCTTTTGGAAGCTAGATCCTACCCTTCTATACCAGATTTGCTTTTGGAAACTTTCTCAGTTTTCAAAGTGACCCCCTCTCCTCTTCAGGAAAGTTCAGCCCTAACCACAGTTCTGTTCCATATATACCTCTTGTGCTGCAAGTTCATATCCATCTGGATTCATGGAAGGAAGAAGGTGAATTCTAGTGTTGTTGATCAAAGCCTGGATCCTGGGATTTCCAAGAAGGTACTCAGAGCACAGATATTGGGCAAGGTAGATAAGTAATTCCTTCCCCACAACTTCATTTCCATGCATGTTGCCAATGTATTTGAACTCTGGCTTAACTGTGAAAAGACAAGCCAGAATATGTTTTATTTGAATTGATTTTCTAGATTAATAGAGATTACTATCCTTGGCCATTGTGACTTGTTCTACCCATTGTAACCTTGTTCCACCTCAAGGTTTGGTTTCCAGGTGAAGAGGTGAGTTTATCACTGAAATTAGAATCTTAAGCATGGTAATGGAAGTAAGGAAGAACATGCCACATGCCTATAGTTTCATTTATAGTCATCTGGCATCAGGATTTCAGTAAATATTATAATACAGCACAGACCATTGTTCCCACTGAAAATTAAAACCTGTGATTTAGTCCTCATTCATTAATGAATGTTCACAATACTTACTACAGTTCACAATAAGGGATAAATTTGATTAGTGGTTACCAAATTTTGGCATCATACCCTCCATTTTTATTATTATTTTTGAGAAACCTCCACAATTCTCCACTTCTTTAATACCATCCAATACTTTTTAACAAAAAATCCACTTGTAATTTAAACTTGGTAAAAAAAATGTAAATTAGAAATCTGTCCCAGCACTTTTTCTTTACATGAGTTTAAAAAAAAAACAGAATTGGCCTTACAAAAATAGCAGAAATAAAACAAATGTATCGTGAAGGATTTTGCTGATCTTACAGTTGCTCACCACCCTCATCATTTTCTTTTCATGTCTCCCTTAACCCTGCGGGCACATTCCTGAGTTTGGGAACCAGTCAACTAGATCTTGCATGCTATATTTGTAACAAACTGTAGTAAATTGTTTTGTTTGCCTTTTAAAACAAATGTGAATGAAGAGCAGCCACAACAAACTAATTTTGAGCTGAGAAATAGAAGTGGTGGCATGCATCACCTTTTCCCTGCTATATCCTTCCCTAGTAAAAGCTCATCTTCACCAGACTGCATCCTTTTGATTCCTGACTCCAGGCAAAGCACAGCTGACAAATAAAGAGTGTAGCCGCACACTTTTGCTAGATCCCATGGCAGGAGATTCTAACAAGAAAAGGAGTCCAAGAAGGGTGGGAGCGTCTTTAAAAAGAAATTCTAAAGAAACAACTACAGACAATTCCAACATGAAAAAAAAGGGGGGGGGGAAGTGGCAGAAAAGGCCAATGTGGCTTCACAAAAAGCTCAGGGAGGACCTAAAAACCATAAAAGGCATGTACAGGAAGTGGAAAGAAGGCCAGGCCACCAAGGTTGAATACGGACAAGTATAAAGGAAATGCAGGGATGGCATTAGGAGGATAAAAGCTGAGAATGAGCTGAGGTTAGCTAGAGACACTAAAAGCAATAAAAAGCATTCTTCACGTATGGTTGTAGCAAAAGACAAACAAAAGACATGGTTGCACAGCTACAAAATGGAGATGGAAAAATGATAACAGAGGACAAAGAAAAGGCAGAAGAGCACAATTCCTATTTTAGTTCAGTCTTTTCCCATAAGTCAGACTATGAACTTCCAAACAAAGTGGAAGTGGGGGTGGTAGGACAGGATTGCAGCTGGAGATTGATAAACAAATAGTCAAGGAATACCTGACCACCTTGAACGAGTTCAGATTTCCAGGGCCAGATGAACTGCATCTGAGAGTACTGAAGAAACTGGCTGAATGACTCTTGGAACCACTATCCATTATTTTCTTGAAATCATGGGAAATGGAGGATGTGCCAGAGGATTGGAGGAGGGTCACTGTTGTCCCTATCTTCAAAAAGGGCAAAAAAGAGGAATCTAGGAAATACAGGCCGGCCAGCCTGACATCAATCCCAGGCAAAATTCTGGAACAGATCATATAGCAGTAATTGTGCAAGCACCTAAAAAACAATGCAGTAATAACTAGAAGCCAACATAGTTTTGTCAAGAACAAATTTGATCTCGTTTTTTGATCAGGTAACCTCCCTAATACACAGAGGGGATGCTTTAGATGTAGTGTATCTTGACATCAGCAAAGCTTTTGACAAAGTGCCCCATGATATCTTTATTAGCAAGCTAACTAGGTGTGGGCTGGATAGATCAAGTGTCCGATGGATACACAATTGGCTACAGAATCATACTCAGAGAGTGATGATTAATGGGTCCTTCTCTAACTGGAAGGAGGTAACAAGTGGGGTACTCCAAGGCTTAGTCCCTGGCCCAGTGCTCTTCAATATTTTTATTCATGACTTCATGGAGGGACTGCTTGTGCAGGGAATGCTTGTCAAATTTGCAGATGTTATCAAAGTGGGCTGAATAGCTAAAACCCTTGAAGACAGTAACAAAATTCAAAAGGACCTTGATAGGATGGAGCACTGGGCTGAAAACAACAGAATGAAATTCAACAGGGAGAAGTGCAAAGTACTGCACCTCAGAAAAAGAAACCAATTGCACAGTTACAAGGGATACCTGTAACTAAGGGGGGATACCTCCAGCAAAACTATTAGCGAGAAGGATCTTGGAATTGTTGTAGATCACAATCTAAATATGAGCCAACAGTGCGATGAGGCTACAAAAAAGGCAAATGCTATTTTTGGCTGCATTAATAGAAGTATAGTTTCCAAATCCCGCATGTGCTAAATCCCATCTATTCAGCACTGGTTAGGCCTCATCTTGAGGATTGTGTCCAATTCTGGACACCACACTTCAAGAAGGATGCTAACAAACTGGAACAAGTTCAGGGGGCTGGAAACCAAGCCTTATGAGGAAAGGCTGAAAGAATAAGGCATGTTCAGCCTTGAGAAAAGAATACTGAGGGGTGATATGATAGCACTTTTCAAATATTTGAAGGGCTGTCATACAGAGGAGGGGCAGGATCTGTTCTCGATTATCCCAGAGTGCAGGAAACACAACAATGGGTTCAAGTTAAAGGAAGCCTGATTTTGATTCAATATCAGGAAAAATGTCCTAACTGTTAGAGTAGTATGACAGTGGAACCAGTTACCTCGGGAGTTGATGAGTGCTCCAACACTGGAGGCATTCAAGAAAAACATAGATAAGCACCTGGCAGATGTGCTTTGACTGTATTCCTGCGTTGAGCAGGTGGTTGGACTTGATGGCCTTATAGGCCCCTTCCAACTTCACTTTTCTATGATTCTATGGTCTTTTTAAGATTCCAGATGCTTGCTTTCAACAACAGCTACACATTTGAAATTTTGCTGAGAGAGCAACTCGAATAGAAATTTGAATGGGAAAAGTTCTTTAAGAATGAAATAACTTTTTAGTTTCATCTTATTGTGTGACTGATTTTCATTTATTTCTGCATTACGTTCCAGGGCTTTATGCACAACATCTAGCTTACCAAGCTCTGAGATGGCCTCCCACACGACTTAGTCCATGTCTCCCAACACTGTGGCAAAATAACTCCACCTGTGTTCCTAAACCAAGTCTGATTTTCCTAATATCTTGCTCTATGAAGGAGCTTGCTTACAGTGTCACAGTGAAGCATTCAAACATGAGATTTGAGAAAATTTTGAATTATGCTCCTAAAGCTTCCTGAGGGCAACAGCAGCACAAGAAACCAGTCAGCAGATGTGCAATAGAGGAGGAAGAGGAGGAGGAAAAAGCAGATGTAGTCTGAGGCCAAAGACAGAAAGAACAGGTTTATTCAGGGGAAACTGTGGAGCATTAAGTAGCAAAATGTTTTTGTCCAGTCCCGGTTCTGAGCTTCTTATACTTCTGAAGCCCATAGATATATTTACTCACGAAGTCCATGGTGTCCTGGATTAGTAGAAAATTCAATCACAAAAATATCTTTTCCATCAAAGCTGCGACCAATGCTGTACAGTTTGGCAATATGGGAACATCTGGATTCTACCTTTTTCAATACTCTCACCATTTGGGGAAATGAGTGATGGACGAACTGAATAAAATTTGGTGTCTCATTGAGCACATCTTCAGAAAATTCTGTTTCACCTGCAAGACAACAGATTTAGTTTAACTAAGAGCCCTTCTACTTTGAGCTTCAACTTACCTTAAATATACCAGAACCACAATCTGGCGTCCACATGATGCAGGGCTGAAACCAGGGTCAACAGATTCATGATCATCATCATAATCTTAGGACTGCAGAGCTGCAAGGGACCCTATGAATAATTGAGTCCAGCCCCTGTCAAGGAGGCATGGCAGTGAATAAAACGCCCAACCTCTGGCACCACAGTGAGATTCCTAAATCACTGAGTTATCCCGCCTGAGTTATCCTCTTTCACAAGAGAAGACTCTGCTTTCCAGGGTTCTTTTTTACACAACTGCTGTGTAGTAGTATATTTTTGTTCTGTTTTCCTCTGCTCCAGTGGAAATTATGATCATGTGGACCCCTGTATTGTATTGTTCCTTGCTGATCCATGTGCTTTGTGCAGAAGTGTTATTTCATAACATTTCCTTACGGGCACTTTTCTGTCAGTCAATCTTCACCCTTTCACACCCCATCGATAGGTAAGGAGGGAAGGGAGGAGAGATTAATGTAGGTGTGGAAAGAGAGTGGCAGGCACAAGGGGAAGTTAATTAATGTTGGGGCAAGCCAGCTGGGAGCAATTCCAAATGTGTGTAGACAGGCAGTACTCATAAACCCAGTACATCTCAATCAGCCAGCAACAAATACCCTCCCCATGTGTGGATATAAATCCTAGGATGAGCTATTCAAATCTGCAAAACACACACATACACAAAAAACACACACAAAAAAACAACAAAACCATAGAACAGCAAGCAATCTGTTTGGACAATCCCTAAGTTAGTTTGCTAATTGTATGAGGTTTATGAGTGGACAATCTGTGTGGACAATCCCTAAGTTAGTTTGCTAATTGTGTATCTTACTGGATCATATAAAGAAGCAGAATTTCACAAATGACTGAGTCAAGGGAATGAAATTATATAGCTATATGAAACATGATGGCCATATAGTTAGAAGACTATTAAATGTCTCTGGGAGTACTATGTGCTTACATTACCTTCTCTGTTAGTTGTAGGCAGAGCGTTCCCTAAACTAGTTGCTAAACTTGGATTCTCTGAAGAGTATGTGAGACATCTTGGTCTACAGGCTGGAAAGCATTTACTGAAACAGAGATTGTACGACCACTGGGTTCAAACTGATTTAGGTTTGTTAGGCACCCTAAAAACGTCCCCTTTATATAAGAATATTTTACCCTTGCCTTTAAATCTTCCATCTTATTTTACTGATTTAATCAGTTTTGATTATAGAAAAGCTTTTACTTGGGCATATTTTGATGTTACCACTAGCCAGTTTATTAGGACGCTATACACAAATTCCGTATCATGACAGAGTTTGCTCTTGTGACCAAAAATCAGTGGAGAATTTGGCACATGTAGTGCTCTATTGTCCACTATTAGAACCTGTGAGGTTTACCACGTGGCCCCTGCTTGTTTCCCCCAAACAAAGGGCTCACGTTATATCCTTCCACCAGCAGATACCAATTGTGGTGTTCTCTCTTTTCCTCACTGGCACCAATAGATTTCCTTTATCCGCAATATATAAAGAACTTTAGACAGACACTTGTCTGGTTACTGGCAACAGAACATATCTATTTAAGTGCATTAAATTTAATCAGAACCACAAATGTAGAGGGGGAAAGCAGCTTTTTGCAAAGGAAGTGGAGGAGGAAAGCACTTTCCTCTCAAGAAAGTGGAGGGGAAAAGAAGGAATTCCCTTCCCCCTCCACTTTCTTTGCAAAAAGTGCTTTGATCCCTCCCCCCTCCTTAGTACCATGTATAAAACAACTCTCAATTTTTCCTCTGAGTATTTTAGGAAAATGTGTCATTTTATACATGGAAAAATACAGTAGGATTATTTATCATACTTTTCCAATTTTCCACTTTCACATTTTCACCTTCAATAAAATCAGTTTGTATCAGTATAGCAGATTCAGGTACATATTTAAATTCCAAACCATTTGACAATCACTTAATATTTCTAACATTTAATTATATCACTTTTATTACCATTAGTCATTACTAGATCATTTTCTATATGAAACAATATCTACACAATGTCCATCTCTTCTTCTCCTTTTGAAGAATCCTTCATCAGTACAACCTCATTGAAGTTCATCTTGAAGTTCTCCAACCAATCTCTAAGTTGAAGAAATCTGGCACTTCTTCTATAAACAGCTCTTTTATCTCTCCAGGGTGGTTTACTGTGGAATGACTATCTTTCCAGGTAGGACAAGTAAAAAAGGATCTTGAACTTTTCCTAGGCTGAGATGAATCTCCTCCCTCCTCTGATCTCACATTCTTGGACACCATTTGGCATGTTTTCCCAGATGTCAATAGGGTTTTAAGATTTGAAGTCTCTGGAGCTGCTAACTCTGCCATTTTACCATTGCAAGTGGCACAGCCATTTGTTTTTCCTGAAGCTTTCTCTCCTGCTTTTGATTTAACCACTGCTTCTCCTGTCTTATTTCTTTTAAGTTTTTCACATAACCTTTTGCCTGTGAATTGCTTGCACCGTCTTTCAAGAATAATGTCTGTTATAGAAGCTCTTGGAGGGAACTTTACCACCAATATGGTGGTATCTACAAGTGATGTATTGTACTGATCTCTCTCATCAGCATTTTCCACTATAGTTCTTCTTCTATCTGTTTTATTTCGCTCATCAAAATAAATTACATGTTAATATTGATTTCTCTAGTTTCCAAATTCTTTATTCCATAGCCTTTACTGTTTTGCTCATAATCAATTAATCTAGTTTGGACAGCTCTGGAAACTAACTTCTGCCTTTTCTGTTTTTGTATCCACAAACTCTTAAATGATGCACTAAGGGAATTTTACCATGCCAAATTTCATAAGCTGCTTTGTTATTAGGCTTACTTGGAAGTCCATTTTAAATATAAGTTGTTGCCATCACAGCTTTATCCCAAAATTTATTTGGCAATTCAGCATTTGCTAACAGGTACCTTGTCATTTCTAAAATATATCTTATTTTTCTTTCTGCTTCTCCATTTTGTTCATGAGTGTAAGCAACCATTTTTTATGTAAGATTCCTTGCTTATTAATTTCATTAATTATGAAACTCTTTCATTTCATGTGAATTATATTCACCACTATTGTCTATTAATATTGACTTACATTTTCTCTCAAATGTTTTACTGACTATTGCTGTATACTTTTAAACAGCTTGTAAGTTTGGCTTTTCTTTTCTTTTTCTTTTTTTCTATCTTTGTTCATACATGGCCTTTTAGTTCCTTGTTCAACTTATAGTTGTGAACATACCAGTCTTTCAAAATATGACTAATTTTACCACAGCAGAAACATCCTCATAACTTTTGTTTTCTGCCTTTCTTATAACTGTCATGTGTGAGGAAACTAGCTTCATTTTCCTTTGACTTTATAAAGTGAAATAAAGGTTTCAAACTCTCATCCAACTTTTGTTCTGTGGTTGATTCTGAAGAAATGTACTCCTTAAAAGCATACATATGACCTCCCTCTCTCTGCCTAGTTGACCTAGAAGGTTCAACATAATAATTTGAAAGAGGAGCATTTTTATCAGATGGTTCCTCCTCAATTCCAGACATGAAGATTGGATTTGCCAAGGGCTGGATTTGTCCCGAGATCAGGTCATTACACAAACATTCTTTAGATGCCTAGCCAAATCATTTCCAAATCATCAAGCTGGGTTATCATTATAAACATCAACCTTCCATTGCCCTTCCCAGATCTTAGACTGAATACAATGATGCCTCGCATAACGAGTGCACCGTTTATTCCCAGATCTTAGACTGAATACAATGGTGCCTCGCATAATGAGCGCACCGTTTAACGACGAATTCGCATAGCGATCCATTTTTTGGGATCGCTAATGCGATCGCATACCGATGGTTTCAATGGGCAAAATTCGCTTTGCGACGATTGGTAAGCGTTTCGCTTACTGATCTTCACATTGCGATGTCAGGGGAACAGCTGATCGGCGGTTCCAAAATGGCTGCCAGAAGACCCAAAATGGCCACACGCAGCGTTTTCGTGCCCTGCCCTCGCTTACCAAGGGCGCAAAAATACCTGCGCTATGGAGGAACATCGCTGAATGGTGAGTTTGGGGCCCATTGGAACGCATTAAATGAAGTTTAATGTGTTCCAATGGGTTTTTCTATTCCGTTTAGCGATGTTTCCAAATAGCGGGGCACCGCTGTATTTGCATTGGCCACAGATACAGAAATTTTGGTGCTCCTAATCCTTTTACCATTGGCCACAGATACAGGAAATTTTGGTGCTCCTAATCCTTTTACCAGAACACTTTCATGAGGTAAAATATTTTCCTTAGGTATCACATCAGGGTGACACACACACACAGTTGTGAACATGTATCTCTCACACCCCACAAAAGTTTATCTTGAACTCAAATGCTCTCTCCATATTCTTCCACTAACTCTATATTTATTGTAATAAATAAACAGTGTTTTATCTCCTGACTTGGCCCATTCAATTCCAACATGCCTGTCTTCATAACAGCTTGCCTGCTATCTTCTCCATCTCATGAGTGGTTTAACTCTGGGGTCCCAATTTTTGAAACACAGAAGACTGGTGCCTCTTTATGCACTTTCATTCTAATAACTGTCTCTGTGCAGGAATCTCAAAAATGTCCTTCTTTACCACATAGAAAACAGACTTTATTTCCTATCTTCCCCTTAGTAAACTGTTTGTCCCTGGCCGCGCCTTCATTCTGCTGAGAGTTTTCTTTTCCAGACTGCTCTGTTTGTATCTTCAAGTCTTTACACACTTTGTTTCCACCAACGTGCCACTTACATCATTTCTCATCTCACTGTAATGAGGTCTTGTTACCTCTCTCAAAATTACTAATCTGTCAAGTACATTTAGCTGCCTCAGCAACTGTTTTTGGTTGCTTTTGTTGTACATACCACCTACTGTATATTCCTGGGGCACAGTATTATAAAATTATTCTAGTC